TCTCTAACTAACCCAGCGCTCAGCGTTGAGCAAACTTTGCGCTTTGTTCGCTTAAATTTCTTTTCGTTTTTTTTTTTTATTTTTGCTGTTTTATTTATTTATTTTTTGTTGTGACTTATTTTTAGTAAATAATAGTTAGTTAGTTGGGGCTTTATTTATTTTTATTTGGCATCGTTTGTTGCCGTTGTGGTTGTACTTGTTGGCAGTTTGCTCTGCCGTCCATCTCCCTCTCCCTCCACCTCTCACTCTTGCTCGCTCGTGTTTTCCTTCATAATTATTATTCCTGTTGGCCGTGGTGGCAAATGGCAGCTGCTGCCTGGCAGCCAACGCGCAGCTAATGCTGCCCGCAACAAGGACGCGCCAAAGTCTATTGGTGGGCGGGACGATGCGCGGTAGGGGCGGTAGGTTTGGTCTTTTCTTTGCTTTCGCCATTTTGTTTGGCCTGGATTAGCATAATGCTATTTATTGTTGTGCTTTCGTTGTCATTCCCATTTCTACTGCTGCTGCTGCTGCTGTTGGTTTTCAGTTAATGTTGTTCCCAGCTACTTGTATTTCTTCTTTCTTCTGCGGTTATGTAAATAAATTTTCAACTTCCGCATTGCAACTGCGCCAGTGCCAACTGCTGCTCTGTCTTCTTCCACTTCGACTTCACTTTACGCTGTGCATTTGCTTGTTAGGCTTTTTCTGCACTCGCAACCTTCCTCGCCCATGTTATGATGGCAAAGTTTGTTGCTGATTCTCAATTCATTAATAATTCCGCAGCGCAACTTACAAAAGCTCAAATTTCCAATTTACACTTTATGAACATGTAAATTGAAGACCAAGCCACAGACGCCAGCAACTGTTTCCCCTCGACAAAAAAAAAAAAAATGTAAAATGCGAAAAAAAGCGAATTGTATGTGGCTGAAGAAGTTCCTCAAGCATCCACTTGTACTTAGAGTTTCATGCAGCAAAAAACCAACTCGCCTTGGCTGCTGACTACAGCATAACCGAAATTGGATAGAAGTACTTCAGCTAAGTGGTCGAGAATCTGCTGCAAATGGCTACAACGCTGCTCGCCCAGCAGCCAACAGCCAGCAGCCAGATACTGGAAATGGTTTTGCAATTGCTTTTCCCGCACAATGCAAATCTGTTTACCCCACTCGCTGCATCTTGGTTTGCTTTAGTTTTAAATTTGTGCGAAAACAAACCGAACTAGCATGTGTTTGCATTGGCTGTTTGACTAGTTGATACCCTGTAAATTGAATTGCCTTTGTTTGCATATGCTGCAGACATGTGAAGCTGAACTTGCGAAATGCATGGCATATTGAATGCATTTTAGGGATATATTTTCTTTCAATATTTTTCTAAAAAAATAAAATAAATAAATGAATAAAGTAAAAATATTTATCAATGCACTTAAATTAAAATTAAATTTAAATTTATTAAGTATATTTTCAACATATTATTTCCATTTCCTAACTGCCACGCAATAGACGATTAAAAGCATATTTTGTCATATAGGGGAAAAAAAAAACAAAATAAAGTTGACTTTCTTTGGTACATAAATTCCAATTAAGGTTTGCAGTTCATATAAAATGTTTTGATAAAACCGCATAACTCATTGTTAACCCTTAGGCAGCCGACCGAAACGGGACCCACACACACACACGCACACATACATACGTATGTGTGCACAGGTTACATGTTAAATTGTCATAAGCCTTAAAAATTCCATTATGATTATTTACTCAAGTACCAGAGCCCGTTCACGAGCTAGCTTCCAGCTTCGCCTAAAATGAGACATAAAACACAAACAAAGACACGAGCATAGATAAGGAAACAAAGTTTTCTAAACGAATAAATCTGTTTGTTCGGGTGCCAGGAAAACGCACACACACACACGTACACACTCACACATATGTGCTTATAAAAATTGCAAAATATTTTTACACACACACAAATGAACGAACGAAAGCTAATAAATGAGAAGTTTACGCGACGGCCCAGGCAACAAATCCCATTTACAAGGATATATATATTTCTATATATGTATGTACATGAAAGTCGCTCTTCGTCGACGTTGAGTGCTGCAGCCAAAACAAAGCACAACAAGAAAATACGGGAAAAAAATGGAATCGCTGCAGGATATGCAGACAAGACAAACAAGTCACGAAACACTGAGAAACGAGAACTAAATACAAAAATAAAAATAACGTCGAGCCGCAAAGATTTGCAACATAAATATTTTCGTTTTGCCGACAGACACTGAACAAACGTTATAAACAGACAACATTATATACATATATACATACACACATATGTATATACATATACATATGTGTCTGTGCACATGTATGGAAATGCGGCATTTATTTGTGTATTAAGAGCTGATTTCTGCAGTGAGCTCTCGAAATAGCCGTAACGGTTGTGCGGCCATTTTGCCAGCTGCAACAAAATGGCGGCCGCAATATAAATGGCGCCGTTGATGAGTGTTAACAGTGGGCGGCCATGTGTGTGTGTGTGCGTATGTGTATGCTGTGGCTCCAAAAGAATAAAAAAAAAAAACAAAAAGAAAGAAATGAATAACCTAAAATCACAAACTGCCGTCAGCAACGTTTGCTGCTCTTTTTCATTATTTTTGAGTAATATGCGCAATGCATCAGGCTCAGACTGAGGTCTGAGGACACACAATGAGCCTCAGTCGGGCTCGGTTGGAACGTTGTTTGTTGTGGTTGCCGTTGTTGTTGTTGTTGTTTGGCATTACCGCACTTGACATATTCCTGCTGCATTTATTTTGGGTTACCATTTGCTGAACTGGCCCTAAGTTCACACACACACACACACACACACACACACGTTAACCAAATTGCAACGAGTGCAGCCCAAAAATGCAATTGTCCATGTGGAGTGGGTGTGGAGGGGGGAGGATGCAGTGCAGCATCGTTGTTGCAGTGCAGCGGCACTCTATCCGGTTTGGTTGTTTGTTTGCAGTTGCATTTTAAATGCCTGGCTCTCGCCATTTTTAATGTCGTCTCCGAATTGTTTGCCAAAGTGTTATTTTTCCAGCTGAGAGGCAGAGACAGAGAGGGATTTTTTTTTTTGCCAGCTTTGCTGAAACTGGCAATGTGCAAACAAGTGCATGTGTTGCTTCACATAAAGGGTAAGGGGAGTAAAAAAAAAAATAAAAATAATATTCATATATGTATATGTAAAAAATGCTTTTAATTAATAACAATTTTAAGCAAAAGTGTTATGGGCCATAAGAGCCAAGCTATTTATTACAAAAAATTACTCATATTTTTTATAGTTCAGTTGAAATATTCGTTTTTATTATTGCTGTTAATAAATGTTAAGCAATATTGAAGAGGAGAAAAAAAAAAATGAAAATATATTTCTTTAATGTCAAGCATTTTTTTATGGAAAATTTTAGCAAACTATTTTTGTTATAGTATATATTTCAGCACACTTCTAATTATTCGTTAGTCTATACATTAAGTTAATTAATGTTGCCTGTGGTTTGGCTCTTGATTATATTTTAATTAATTTTATTGCATTTCACATTTCGCGTTTCCTTCTCATGTGCTTGGCATAATATTTATGCTCGATTGAAGTAGGAGACCATTCTCAAATCGGCTTATTGTGCAATCATGTATGTGCACACCCACAAAAGCACACACATGCACACACACACACACACAGCCTCACATAGAGTGAGAATGCCTAGAAATGTCTGCCATGCAGATAAGTTGTCGACCTTCGCCCACAAATGGGGGCTCGACCTGCCTGCTGTAATAAAAAACAAGAGAGAAAGAAAACTGTGAAAGAGAGACAAAAAGATAAAGAGAAAGAGAAAGAGAGAGAGAGAGAGAGAGAGAGAGAGAGAGAGAGAGAGAGAGAGAGAGAAAGAGAGAGAGAGAGAGAGAGAGAGAGAGAGAGAGAGAGAGAGAGAGAGGTAGACAGCATAATGTCTAAAAAGAACGCGCACAAAGCGAGCGAATGAGGCAAGTGAGAACAAATTGTAAGCCAAAAAGAAAAAATAAAAAAAGAACGGCAAAAAGAAAAACTTGCGAAAAAAAGGTGCCAAGTAGCGTGCACAGTTAATGAGTTTTTCAACATTCGCCCGCAACCAGCGAATTAAAATGTAGCACGAAATGTGGAAATGTGGCACATGAGCGACTGAAAGGGGTGCTGCGAATTGTGGGATGTCTAAGGCGTCGGAACAGTTGGGGCGAAATGGACAAGGGGAAATGGGGCGGACGAGGCGGTGTCATAAATCTGAGTAGGACGGTGCAAAAGTGCAGCGCAATTTGTTTTTAAGTCAACTGTGAGAATGCGTGTGTGCGTGTGTGCATGAGTGTGTGTGCGCTCTAATTATGATGTCAACAATGCGAGTGTGTGTGTGTGTGTGTAGGTTTGCCTGGTGCAAGTCAGAGGTTGGGGGTCTAGCAAGTGGGGCGCAAGTGTTAAAGTCGAGTGTCCACTTGGAGCAGCACTTGCCACATTCAGCTGCTGTTGCTTTGGCCGATTGTTAGTTTTGCACAAAGTGCCTGAAAGTAGGCATGCCAAATTTAACAGAATAATGGCAAAGGCTAAGCTGGAGTAAATTATATTTTCATTTTTTTAAGCACTGTAAGAGAGCTAAAGCATCAAGAGTTACGTAAAAATATAAAAAAAAAATCATTTATTGTGTCTGCAATTTTAATATTTGCAGCTTATAAAAACTATTAAATGTTTCTCTTTTAATCTACATTTTTTATTGCAAATTTATGCACAATTAATTCAAATAATTAGTTTACATTATTATTTCATTCATAATTTATGTATACAAAATATATATATATATATATAAATGTTATATAAATCAAAGCTTGCAAACAACAGTCGACTCTTTGATTTTGTACTTTTATATAAAGCACAATATTTATATTACTTATACATACGTAAAATTCATTTATAAATAAATACACATAATTTCATGCATATTTTAATTCAATTTATTTCTATTTATCTCATTACAGAATGACTACAGAACTCTACAACTAGTTGTTCCGATTAAAAAAAATAAATAAATACAAAATAAAATCGTAAATAAAATAAATATACAAAATTAAAACGCTCAGTTTTTATTAACTTTGTTGAGAAATTTGTTAAAATAAAGTGCAGAGCAAAATAAAAAAAAAAAATAAAAAAATACAAAATTATATTTGCCATATATATAGCATAGCATTTAAATAGTAAGTAAATCAGAATCAGTAAATGAAATCAATTTAATATAAAATCTATGAACACGCACTCAACTCAGTAAATAAAATAAATTTCATACAAATTCAACTAAAACGCACACACACTCTCTCACACACACCGTCGTGCTGACCGCAACAAATAAAATATTTACAGCAAGGAAAATTAAGTAAATTTATGCAAAATACAAAATACAAAATGTTAAATTTCCACAACTCGGTTAATAAAACAATGCAGCAAAACAATAACAAAAGCCACAAAATGCATCTGCAAAGTGCAAAAACACTAGCCCCAAACTCTGGATGGATGCAAGTCTTCCTACTACTGACACTCTTCGTGATTGGTAATCAAAGTGCCTGGCAGGAGAATATACGACCAAAACTATATGTGGAACTAGGTAAGTGATGAAAATGAATTAATATATATATGTATGTATGGATGTATGCATGTGACTTTTATTTACACTGGAAATTGAGAATTTGACAGTGACAACTATTGGGAAAATGTGGAGGAAAGTAAGTCAATATTGAGTAGAGAAAAGTTGATGAGCTCTCGCTTCTCTCTCTCCTCTCTCTTTCTTCTCTTTGGGCATTCGCATAAGCTAATAGAAATGTCAATTTAAATTATGAGCATGTAGTTGCAAGGGATGGGTCATGCTAGTCTGAATCAACTCATATCAAATTCAACTGCCAAAAACTTTAATAGCTATTTTTTTATGAGCTCCGAAATGTAATTTGACTGCGAGACAAACTATAAGCACAGAGACACACTTACATGCATATGTATGTATATATATTATCATAGATATATGTATATATGTACATGCATAGGGAAACTAACCTTAGATAGTTGAACTTGTGCTATCGCCTCTCACTGCTGCTACAGCGCCCAGCTGGCTAAGGTGAAAAACTTGGCTGAGGCAATGAAGCTATAACTTGTTAGGAAGTGCAACGCACACACACAAACACAGAGACACATACATATGTATGTATATGCAGCTACATACATAGCTACTAATGCACACTTTTAGATATGAGGCATCCACACGTTTGGTATCTTAACTATAAATAACAAAAATTCCTGGAAGACATTATTTGCATAAAAGTGGCGTAGCTTTTTATACACACACACACATATATACACTCAGAAGTGGTAGGGAATATTGCAGACAGAGTTAGTGACTGGGAGACGGGCAGTCAGACAGTCGCAGGACTAGAGCCAGCAGCTACTTCTAGTGCCATCCAGTTGGTAATTCCTGCCGCTTCAGGCTACGTCATCATCGTCAGTTGCATATGCAAATTTGGCTAAAAAGTTGTGCGACATCCTCACGTCGAGGCGACACACTCACACAGCCATATATATACACATGCATATATGTCACGTATACATGTATAAGTGAGACTTTGTTTGTAGCCTGCAAGATGAAGCAGAAAGTTGAAAGCTGAAGAAAGAAACTAAATTCCAAAAATATCTTCTGCACGCTTCAGAAATTACGTTATTAAATGTGCATTTGGCACACACTAAATGTGAACAGTGCCACGCCCATAGCAAGACAGCGCCCACTGCACTGCACTGCACTGTGCTGACTCCGGGGATAATGGCAACTGAGCCTTTCTAGACATATCACATCAGGCGCACATGTGCTGCTTATAAATGAGCAAACGAAATGGCTTCAAGCTTCTATTTATATATGAGGAAGTTTTCTTTTTTTTTTTTTGGGCATCTGGGTGGACCAGTTTGAGGGTGGCACTCATTGCTGGCAGGAAGTAATTCAAATGAATGTGTCACTGCTCAAGAAATGAACATAAAGAATATGCAAAAGATACTGGAAATGAATGAGTGCATAGCAGGACAACAAATGGCCAAAAAAACGGCACAAGAAAATGCATTTCAGCTGCAGTTAGCTGCCTTGCGATGCACGTGTGTGTTTGTGTGTGTGTATGTGTGCCAGGCTCTAGTTTTTAGATAAGAAAATGTTTGCCACACAATGGAAAACATTTTGTGTACGGGCATTGAGAAAGCTATTGTGGTGAAAGTATTTGTTCGGCCATGCAAATTGTGAGAGATGACAAGGCATGATGTACTCATAGATGCGCTGTAATAGGAAAAGTGAGTAGAATTAACTGAAGACATATATAAGATTTTAATATAAGCGGAATCAGATAAGAAATAATATATAAATAAATAAATAAAATTAACCTTTTTTCTCTGATATTTATGATTAATATATCTGGGCTTAACTTGTTTTCTTCGAGATTCTAGGGTATTTATTCATTATGATTTAACGCTTAGCCATTTATATCCAACTTTCATTGTTCTCAGCATGCCGTATTTAGTATATTCGTCTACTTAAGAGCAAAGTGCTGTTTGAGTAAGAGAAATGTGTTTCCTGTATACACATATTTTCTCACACAAATTGTTGTCTCTGAAATAGCTTTTAAGCCATTTTAGTTTAACTCTTCTCCATTTGAGTTTGGTTTAAAGTTTGCTACAAATTGATCGCAGTAATTTATTTTAGTTTTTAGTGCTTGGCAAGAAATTCATAAGTCTGTGCGCCCCTGCATCAGAACTGCTGGCGCAATATCTCATTAGAGTGCCCCAGAATTTACAAGTTTGCAAAGGAACTTTGCTGATTAGCCTCATTTGCTTAGTGGAAACATGCTGCTGTTGCTGTTTTTCTTTATCAGTGCCAACTGAAGGTAATCTCTGTGAGTACTGCCCTAGTCAAAACCAATTACTTAGCCAACGCCCATGTTTTGGGGCAGCGGCAGGAGTCGGTCGGGCGCATGGCATGTGTTAAAGTTCATTTAAAATCCATCAGAGGCGAGTCGTAAAACCCATCTCGGGCTGGTGACAATTTTTTCGCACTCATGCATAACTGGAAAATAAGGTTAATGTGGAAATTATGAATGCGACGAGTGGCAGCAGGAGAATGAGAATAGTTGAGAGCGTGTCGCCACAACCTCCAGCGCTGCCAAATGAGCAGAAGCAGCAGTCGTCAGGGCCATGGAAAAGCCAAAGACGACGACGACGACGACGACGACGAGGACATTTGTGACCAAGTAAAATGAAAGTGCTGGCTGGGAGGCTGGGTAAAGGACTGCGTGTGTGTGCGAGTGTGTGTGTGTGTGTGTGTGTGCACTGGTAATGCATTCATATGCCATTGTTGGGGCGAAAACAAAAAGCTTGCAGCTGCAGCGAGCAACATCCTCCTGCTCCGGCAACCGCACACGCATAAAATATTACAGCGCTGCGTGGCACGCCCCAGAGTTGCATTTGACAGCCGCAAGTGGTTGTCATTAGGCGAAGCTTTCCTGCCAGCCAACAACAAAACGAACATTTAAATGCACAGCACTTGGCCAGCAGAGTCGGACGGGTTTGGGTTGGCTGTGAAACGTGGGGCTTACTTACTTACTTGTCCCCAAAATTACGTCTATCAAGTGGGCGGTTAGCGTTGATCGTTTTGTGGCACTTTGGCGATGCATTTACTTCGCTTAACACACACACACACACACACACACAGAGAGATAGAGAGAAACCACCCACAGAATGCAGTCCAATCTCTTTGGGCTACTTCATTTTGAAGACATTTTGTTAAGAGCTTTTTATGCTGATTTTTTTTTTCCTCTTTGGTACGTGCCAAAAATGCAAACAATTTCGATTAGGGCAACACTGCGACAGTGTTGCATAACGCGCAAAGTTTAAATACGAAGACAACGATGAGCCAAGGCAGTTGAGTTGAGGCTTGAGTTGAGTCTAAGCTATAAAGATGAACTGTTGATATAATAAATTTCAAGATTACGAGATGATGATGATTAGATACAATTATGAAATAATTAGGTCTGTTTTGTAAATAAAAAAAAAAGAAATGAACAGTTAATATAAGGTTTTGGATATGAAAAGCTTGAAGATATAGAGAAAATATGAGAAAGTAGAGCATATGTAAATATGATATTTGACTGTATCCTTGGTTATCTTGAAAAGTTATCCTTGAGGAAAGTTAAATGTTAAATGTTGCTAAGGCTTACATAATATTAATTTCCCTTATGGTTATCTTTTTTGGCTCACTCTAAGCACTCATTTCCTTCCTTCGCCCAATTCCCTACGGTTTTCCAAAGTATGTGGAAATGAGCAGCAATAATAATTTTTAGATTAAAGGCATAGTCGAAATAATGAATGCTCACCAAGAAGCTATATATATATATATTCATTATATACACTTTTGACATGCCATCAGGCATTCAGGACATGTAAGCACTATAAATACCATATATGGAGTGGGCTCCTCCTCCCACTGCCCCCACTATCTCCACTGCCCCCACTCTTCAGTTGGCTTACAAATCCCAAAGTAGTTGAAGGCACAGCGCTTAAGAAATTATGAATTCTGACTTTTGTCAAGATTCCATGCCATAACTGTCGACTGTGTGCCTACTTAATATAATTTGAATAAAAGTAATATGCAAATAGCAAGAGGGAATGACAGAGGCCTGAAGAGGAACGAAGAGAAGAGAGGGGGAGAGAAGAGGGGAATGAAATGCTGAGTAGAGGAAATAAACAGCAAAAGAACCGATGTCAGACGTAATATTTTTAGTTGTCGCATTTCCGACAGCAACGACGACGGCGACGTTGACGTCGGCAGCGTTACGACTACCCAAAAATGCATATGCAAATCTTTTGAGAGGCTATGAGGGGTAGAGAGTGGGGCAAGTGCTTATAAGTAACTAAAATTGTATGTGTGCCACATAATACGAGACTCGCTGTCTGTGTATGGTGTGTGTGTGTGTGTGTGTGTGTGGAAATTATGTGAGGCGCGTGTCAAGT